CTCTGCCTCCCGAGTGCTGGGATTAAAGGCGTGCGCCACCACCGCCCGGCCTGGTTTATAACTTATAAGATGCACAAAATAGTACGCCAACTGTTGTGAACACTATCTCTGAATGCAGCTGGTCTTTCTAGTTAGTCACCTATTAGGCTGCACTGATGCTTCAACTACTTTCTCTGAAGTTCTGTTGTGCTTAATTCTGCCAACCATGCCCCAGAAATCAAATTCCAAAGCCTTGTTTTCAGGGCCAAAGGATCTAGTCACCCTTCATGTATGCATGGTATCAGTCCATGTTCACCCACCAGGCAGACCACCAATCTCACAAAGAGAAATAGTCTCCTACCTGTGTTAGCTGCTTTTCTGAAGTAGCACTGGGAATATCCAAGACAGACATATTGCTCTCATCTTGATATACAGAGGCATCTCGAGAAACACTGAGGGATGTGCTGTTATCATACAAATCAGGAGGCTGTGGCATAAAACATACAATTTAGCTTCTACCAAGGGAACAGCTAGAAGAAACACAAAGAATCCTCCTTTATAACATTCACTAAAGAAAAAGGACATGCAAGACGACCCAGTTAAAGAGGAAACACAGCCTGGTACAGCTTTGTAGACAAATCTTTAGAATCCTATGAACAACATCCACTCTAGCAAACTGGCATCTAATGTATGTGTTCAGAAACTAAAGCAGAAATGCATAAAGCTTAGGGACAAGTTTATGTATTAACAGCCTCTCTGGTCAGTAACCTACTTTCTTCTTCTAAGCCTGGCCTTATTGTATTTAAGCTCAGAGATTCATATGAGTTATAGTTTTATTGACTTAGAGGCATATAAGAAGAAATTGGATAAAGGAAAGTTTCAACAAGAGTATGGGATGGTTTGACAGTTCACGAGCTTGCGGACGATGCTTCAAAGCAAAATGATATGTTAAAAAGAAAACAAAACATGGGCTATGGAGGAAACAGCCCTGGCATTGAGTCTTGGCTCTACCACTGTTAATCATCCTGTTTTCTTCAACTGTAAAACATGGATGATAATATCTACCTCACAGGGTTGTCATGTGTACCAATTAAGAGCTATGTACCAATACGTGGTACTTAATAAATGATAGATCTCTTCCTCTTATTGTCCCTGAAAGGAACAGGGATTTAGCAAATAGATTCTAGTCAATGATAAGAGGGACTAGATAAAATATTCATGAAGTGCATAGAATAAGAAAAATAGCCGGGCGGTGGTGGCACACGCCTTTAATCCCAGCACTGGGAGGCAGAGGCAGGCAGATCTCTGTGAGTTCGAGGCCAGCCTGGTCTCCAAAGCGAGTTCCAGGAAAAAAGCGCAAAGCTACACAGAGAAACCCTGTCTTGAAAAAAAAAATTCATCAGTTTTAAAGTATGTTTATAGACATAAACACACATACCACAGATATGAAGAAACTCAAAATATTCAGTGATTGGTGTTATGAAAGATGGAATTGATAAGTAACACCTCTTCTTTGTATCTTCCAATTTTCTTTTTAAAAAAGACTTCATTTTTAAAAATTATGTATATACTTGTATGTTTGAATGTGGGTTTGTGCATGTGAATACAGTGTCTATGAAGGCCAGAAGAGGTGTCAAAACTTCTGGAGGTGGAGTTAAAACAGCAAGCCACATTACATGGGTGCTGGGAACCAAACTCAGGTCCTCTGAAAGAGCAGCAAGCACTCTTAACTGCCAAGCCATCTCTCCAGCCCCATCTTCTAATTTTCCCCAATCATCATGTTACTTTGAGCAATACAAACCTGCTTACGAGCAAGGAATAAAGCCTATAGTTCCAGCACAAATTTGAGGCCAGTCTGGATTATACAGCCAGACCCTGTCTCAAAGAAACAAATGCACACCTACAAGTGTTGCTCTGTAAACAAGTAAGCAAACAAGACTGAGAAGATCTGAGTTTCCAAAATAGAGGCAAAACAGGTTTCAAAAACGTTAGTGCACAGATAAACTGGTATGCAACGGAAGGGAAAAATAAGGGAATTTCTGCAAAATTTGAAAGTGTAGTATGAAAATAAAGAGAATTATGGGAAACTGTAAAATGAATAATTCCAAGGTATTGAGCTCAATGCAAGCTCGGTATAAATATCCAGATGCAAATACATTATTAACCACCACCATTTGGAAGTTGAAAATAACATGATTACTGCCATGCTTCTATACAATCACAACTGTATTATGACAGTTACATAGACATAGACACTTTGTAATAATCTTTTGATTTCATATAGTAATGAGTAAGGATGGTCACACATGAGGCTCTTCCTTGAATTAACAGGCAATGACTGGGCTATCTTACAATGTATACACATAAATGCATAAATGAAGGGAATGATGAGAGCATGAACTGATAAGAATGAAGCAGTACTATCCATACCATACTCTCCATAGGAAACTCACTAAGAATACCAAAACAGCTATTGCTCAGGAAGGACAAGGCTTTGATTCACCAATGGTCTAGGCTTATGACTGTCCAAGACTTGAGAAAAGCACATGCCACTTGGTGGTTAGATTCTTCTGGAGAATGATGGCTAGTACTCAAGCTTTAACTTACCAGAAAGTACCTTGTGGAAACTGTGAGCCTATTAGCAAACAAGGCCTTCCTGGGCAACATCACTCACCCAAGCCCCCTTGACCCAATCTGCCCATACAACTCCAAGAGCCTTTCCTTGTTCTGGACCTTGAAGAAGTATCTGAGGGTTCTTTATACCTGGCCCCTCAGTAACCTAGGTTTTGGGATGAAAGAGAGAGTAAAAGAAAGATAGAGAAAGTGTACGAATGAGACACAGAGACAGCAAAAATCCAACAGAGATCATGTATGCTGCATTTAAACTCAGAGTGAAACCTGGGTAGACTGAAAAATAATCCTATGGGAATTGGAAGAAATTCTGCATTTAAAGTAGTTGGTTAAATTGGAAAGAGCCTCTGGGAACTTTACAAAAAACAAAACAAAATAAAAACCCTTCACACAAAGAAGGAAAGAAATATTTACCAAATACCTATCATGTGCCATACAAACTAATCACTTAACGTTAGAAAGCACATCTTAGAGAAATGGGAATAGAAATGTTTATTTCCCAGTATCACAAAACTACACAGTAGCAGAGCTAAGACTCATACCCAGGCCTGTTTTACACCAAACCTCATGTCCTTTCCACCCTACCACTGTATCTCCAATAAAGAAACTAAGGACCTGTTAATATTCCATTTAAAGTCTATTCTTCAAATATGCCAACTTTCTCAGAATGTAATATAGAGGAAATATTCAAAAGGTTCCTTCAGACCAGAAAACCCCAAAAAATTTCTTATTTACCCTGCTTTCTAGTCTTCCAATATATAAACTTAAAATACAAATATAAACAGTCTTCATTTAGTAGGAAAGGGAATTAACCCAGAAATTGAGTGATGTGAGTTACAATGACATACCTCTAAGGTAATGGGTAATCAGACACCTAGAAGGTACAAGAACAATATGGCCCACATCTGTAACTGAGCAACCTACATTCTAAGGACATCCTAGAAGCCCAGAATTTGCTGACAAGAGAACTGGACCTAGAGGATAGCTCTGGCTATAGTAGTCAGGAATCTGGTATTCTCACACACTGTCTATAAACAACCGCCCCACTCATTCATCCCATAGTTGCCTCTTCTGGATTTAACAAGGCCACAAAGATACACGGCCCTCACTCACCTTAGCCTTTGAGAAGACAAGAAAGCACACGAAAGGCATATGAAGAGGAAGGACAGAGAAGAACGGTATCTCAGTAAACACATCTGTTAACATGCTCCCAATTTCCCAAACCATAAGAAAACTCTAAGAAATTCCTAATCCTTTGACTCACCTGAGGTGTGTAAGGTCCTGGAGTCATTGGGTCCAAACTTTCTAATTCTGCTTCCTCCAGAGCTGCTTCTTTAGCTGTACAAATATCTTTCTCAAGTTGAGTCAAATGTTCATCATACTGAAGAAACAAAGAAAATTAATGAATTCATTCAACATTAAGGTACTGGGCAGGCAAAAATAAACAACACACACACACACACACACACACACACACACACACACACACACACACACACACACATAGTCCCTGTCTTCATAGTGCTTCTATTCTAACAGCAGAACACAGCTGATAACCTAAACAAGAGAAAGAAATGACAGAATGAGGGTAGAAGATGGAATATTACATTTGAAAGAAAACAGGGTAGTCAGGAAAGCTTCAAACTCAAAGACACAACAGAAAGGCTTCAGGGAGCTAGATCTTCTTAACCACCTACCTCAGTTAATGTCTGGTAACAAACATTCACAATCTCCTGAGCAGTCTTAGTATACTGACTCTCAGGCCCTAGGAAAGAAGTAAAATGCCATTACCTTTGTAACTTCAAGAATTTTATATTTCTTCAACACACTCATTTAATATATATTGCTATTTATTCATTTATTTAAATAACCACTAAAATTTGTTTTTTTTATATATTTTTTAAAGATTTATTTATTTATTATGTATA